TATGCACGAAGATCATTAATTTTATATATGAGTGACACTTGACCCCCTGTAAATCCGCAATGTCCTGCGACTGTTATTGCTTCCTTGTGACCTAAAAACTGCTTTTAGTCCTCAAAATATCAGTCAACATGTATTTTTTATATTTAAAGAACATTATAAAATAAATTTTACATTAATCAAAAATGCCTCTTTGTAGAAAAAATGTTTTATTTTAAGTAAAATTACTAATGGAGACAATATCTTTCTTACTTCAAAGACAAAATATTGTTTATGTTTTAAATAAAAATTTAAATTTTTATGTTAGTACTTTATAAAGTGTGCAGTCAGACCTCTCCATAAATGTACCCCCTTGGGACCAAGGAACAGCATGCATCATTGTTCACGTGATATACAATGTTTTAAATACAGTAATACTAAAATAACTATCCATTGTATATAGTTTGTTTATTTGTTTGCTAGCATTTTCTTGCTGTATAAAAATTCATGTACAATTTCAAGACCTTTAATGCTTCCTCAAGGCTTATTGTCATCTTCTCAAAATTGTCAGCAGGTACATTCATTTTATTTTTATATATTTCTGCAAGTTCTTTCATCTCTAGAACCTCACAGACAATATTTTCTTCAGGGATATTCAAAAATTCATCAACTTGCATTTTATCAAATAGGACGAAAGTTCATTTAGAGACATAAAGTCATGTGATTCAATTGGATTGCATTACAGTCAGGGATATTACCAAATACAGTCAGGATTTTTTCCAAATTTGGAATTACCAAATATTGCAATGATCAACATCCTAAATAGTAAATTTGCACTACGTAAAAATTTGATTGGCTGAAATTCCGTATTTTTCTCCTTTTCTTTTCTCAAAAACTCACATAATATGAAAAAATTTAACTGTTCATAGAAGGTCTCATGGATGTGTGTTCCCATAATCCATCAAAAAACCCATCAAAATCCATTTAAACAAATATTTAATTGATGATCCATGAATAAATGAGTGAGTCATACATAGTAAAAAACAAGGGAAAATTGACACAAAAATAGCTAATTGAGTACCTTTGCATCAGAAGTTGTACTATGTTTTTGTTCCACCACATGATTTTTTTTTACATCCACAAACAAAACAAATCCCAAAGAACAATTATCAGGTTTTTTTGGTCTTTACTTAAGTAAAAAAAAAAGTTTACTCTTTAGCATCTGTAGATTTTTAAGAATTTTCATATAAAAATTTTTACATGTTCCATGTAACAGTAGTATTTATTTATTAAAAACATATGATTTATTGTCTTCAAAAATAAGAACAAATAAAAAAAAATTTTTTTACTTATTAATTAGATGATGTATTTTCAACTGCCTGTCTTTTGTGATGCTGATGAGAAGGATTATTTTCAGCTTCTAATTCGTCAGTTCCAACAAGTCTTTGAAGTTCTTTTAACATATCCTCAGGAGAGTATTTTTTCTATATTACCAGCCAAAAACATGATTTTTAATTGTTCAATCACATTTAAATCAAGCTTCTTACTACCTTTCTTCCCATACTCTTTAGAACAAATCCAGGTTCCAATTTTTCATCCAAGAAGTTTTTCAAATTCATATTATTTAGCAGAGAATTATTGTATTGTCTGAACAGGATAACTGTATAGTTTATTTCCAGTGAAATCCAAATTTTTCTCTTGAAGCTTCAACCTTACTTCAGGAACAGACAAATTTTGATTGATGTGTCAACTTCTGAAGGAAAAAATATTTTCCATTCTGATTGAGGCATTGTTTGATTAATGACTGTAATGTTTGGTTGATTAATATTATTATTTTTCAGAAGTTTTTTAATATCAAAAATTGAATATTTTTTGATTTCCCAAAATTAGGTATTTCATACGCTGCTATATATATCTATCTTTGTCACCAGATGGCCACATGAAAGTAAAATAATTAGAAATTACTTTAATGGTACCAACTGTCACTTTTTTACTACGATCTGGGATTATTAGTTGAGTCAGACATTTTAAGATCACAATTTATTAATAGTATTATTTAAGATTTTTTTTTTTTAAATATAATTTTATGAAAGACTTTTTGAAGTAAATCAAATATTTTATCTATTTATATAAAAATCCAAACAAAGTTCAAAACTTGTATCAAATTCAAAACTTGCATAAGTTCAAAATTTGTATAAAAATTCGACTTATATCAAAGTTAAAATTTGTTAGTTCAAAACATGTATAAAGATTTAAAACTTGTGTCAAATTTTAAATATTTGAAACTTGCAATTTTATTCTAAAAATTTTGGTGTAATGAACACCTGTAGATTTTTTTTTTTCAAAATTAATATTAAATTTCCCTCATTTTTTAATAGTAAATTGATTGACAATTCTCTCATTTATTCACGGATCATCAATTAATTATTTTAATTTTTTATTTGAATAGAATTTCATAGGTTTTTTGATGGATTATGGGAACACACATCCATGAGACCTTCTATGAACAGTTAAATTTTTTCATATTATGTGAGTTTTTGAGAAAAGAAAAGGAGAAAAATACGGAATTTCAGCCAATCAAATTTTTACATAGTGCAAATTTACAATTTAGGATGTTGATCATTGCAATATTTGGTAATTCCAAATTTGGAAAAAATCCTGACTGAAATGTGAAATTTCTAAATACTGTAATGATAGACAATCTAGAACAAAAATGATTGGCTAATTTTATGCCGATCTTTTCATTGAAAAAATAAAATGATGTTTTTTTATGAAGAAAACTTGGTGAAGGCATTATTAATGGTCATATAACCTCCAAAATTATGTATTATGTTTATTTTTAACTGCTTTACGAGTCTATCAAAAAATAATCAATAGCTTCAAATTATAATCATAAAATTACCATAAAAACTCAATAACTTTTTTCATAATGGTTAAATATACTGATGAAATGTTTGGGTTATCATTCATCAGGAATCTTATTATTAAAATTAATAAAATTAATAAATAGTATCATGAAATATATTATAATTATAAATTAATTTGTAAACTTTTTGGATATAAATAAAGTCTATGCCAAATTTTGTATGCATGTGTATATATATATATATATATTTACTTCTTTACCTGCTTATCATTCATTCGCTGTTTGTGAGTCAGGTTTACATGACCACAGTTGACTCTTTGGATATTTGCCAACTATATCTTCAAACAAACATTTTAAATTCTTAGCTAGTTGTCTTGTATTCGCCATCAGGGTATAATTAGAATTAAAGATTAAAAAAAAAAGCATAAAAAAAAAAATATTGAAAATTCAAGCCAAACTATGGCTCATATTGAGGGAAAAAACTAATTTGTAAACCTTTTTGGATGAAGACGGATTAATAAATTGTATATTCAAGAGAGTATATTAAATAAAATTTTCAATATTATTGGTTTTTGGTATAAAAAAACCTTTGAATGGCCAATCAAAATTCGAAAATCAATTTCCATTTATGGTATAATCCCAGACTGCATTACGTATTGGAATCCAATCAAAAATTTTTGCTGATGATTTCTAGTTAGACAATGAATTTTTATACATTAGCCACGTGGGGTGCATTTATGAAGAGAGTTTTCATATGAGTGGATTGAAAAAATACCGTGCAGTGCAGAGTATGGAGGGTGTACATTTATGGAGGTCTGACTGTAAATATAAATATAAAATTTGTGAATTTTTAAATCTTCTCCTAGTTGTTTGCAGACCACTCGTTTACCAGGACAAAAATCACTTTATGACAAAAATTAGTAAGGGGTCATAAATATTTGTTTATTATTTAAATAAAATTACTTAATATCTTACAGTTTGCATAATACATTTTTATTAAATTGTTCCAGAGTACACTCGCCATCCTTTACTGTTGCATCAACATCATTATCCTTTTTATCATGCACTAATTGTGTTGACAACAATTTTTCATCATCTTTTACCGTCACATTTTTATTAAATTGTTCCAGAGTACACTCGCCATCCTTTATTGTTGCATCAACATCATTATCCTTTTTATCATGCACTAATTGTGTTGACAACAATTTTTCATCATCTTTTACTGTCACATTTTTATTAAATTGTTCCAGAGTACACTCGCCATCCTTTATTGTTTCATCAACATTATTATCCTTTTTATCATGCACTAATTGTGTTGACAACAATTTTTCATCATCTTTTACTGTCACATTTTTATTAAATTGTTCCAGAGTACACTCGCCATCCTTTACTGTTGCATCAACAGCATTATCCGTTTTATCATGCACTAATTGTGTTGACAACAATTTTTCATCATCTTTTACTGGATTGGACATTTTATATAGCCTAATTAAATAAGAAAAGAAGGGGAAGTGTGAGGAGAAGGGAGAGAGGGAGAAGGAGAAGGAGGAAAGGACAATATTATTAGTTGTTTATTTAAAATATTGCAAGGTAAAAGATTTTTACTTTATTAGATCAAAAATCCGTTAGAATAAAAATGGAGACAAAGTAAAAAAACAAGAGGTATTTATTTAGATCGGTTTTGTTTGTTTGCTTCTTAACATTATAATTTTAATTCCTGTTCTCCTATCGTTTTCGATTGATTGGTTTAAGTTTGTTTGTGGTGACAATTACTTTTAAATAATAATTATTATGCATCATTATTTCTTGATAAAAATAAACAAATAAATTTGTCAGTATATTTCTTCAACACTGAAGAAATGAATTACCGTAATACCATCCAAAGTGAAACATATGTAGAAAACTTTGCTCTAGACGATATTGGAAAAGCCAAATAAATGTATTCGAAATTCAAAACCAATATTTAGGTTTGCGAACAGGTGGCTCTAATAATGTATTATTAAAAAATCGATTTCCCGCATTGTGTGCGATCATGATTTTTAACAATACTATAATAAGTAGATATTAAAAAAAAAAAACTGTTGTATGACGTTATTGAATGCAATTGATTGCATTGTCTTTCGTTTACTAGGGCTGAGTGCGTAACCTTAATTGAGACACTTGTCTAAATTAGTTTAAGGTGTTAGCTCAATGGTTGTTATTTTTGGATAATCAAACAACCCCAGATATTTGGAAAAGGGAATCATCTATTTTTCGATTATGTACTTTTTTGTGACCACCCATCTGATTGTTTTGATATTAAAATTTCTCGTTTCAACGGGTTTGTGTGATGTTAATATTGATATACTGATACTAATACATGTTTACAATTCCCCAAACTTAAAAAAATAAAATACGCATTGCTATAATTATTAATTAATTCGGATTTCTAAAATCCACTAATAATTCTAAAAAGTAACCTTACTATTGTTTTAATTGAAGATTATTCAAGTCTCTTCTAAATATATAAATAAGTCGAATTTTTCTTTATAAAATGTCTTGACGATTATCTTTTTCTTTTTCCAAAAAACTTGTGTATATCACTGCTGAACAAAAACGCGAATTATGTTTATTTGTTGAATTAGCACAAGAAAAGTCAGTGATATATTGAAAGGAGTCTAAATAGGTGGCTTGAAATTGATTCAAATTCTTATTGAAAAAGCACATACTTCTCCTGTTGCAGAAAGCGCTTGAATGTAATGTACAGCAATTACAGGTAATGTTATTCAACAAAAGGTGTAGAGTTACTGGGTAACAACAATATTTTTAAAGCATCATCTGATTGGCTTGATAAATTCAAGCGGAGATATTCGATTAAATAATGTAATAAATATGGGAAATCTCAAAGTGGATCCATCTATTGAAACAGATTTTCGAAATGAGAGAAGAGTTGAAAGATGTTCTTAAAAATTATAGAAAAGAGTATATTTTTAATTGCGATGAGACAGGTCTTTATTGGAAAATGGAACCCCAAATTCCAGGCTTAAAGTTAATAAAAAAAGAGCAACAATATTATTAACTTGTAATGCAACTGGTACTAAAAAGTTACCTCCTTTATTATTATTCATAAATATGAAAACTTAATAAAGATACATTGCCAGTTGATTATTATTAAGGTTTTTATAGACAATAAAATGCACAATGCACCAACACATATTTTAATGGATAATTTAAAGTAAAAACACAACTTGCTTGCAACCATTCTTTTATTAAAATATTTATTGCAAGGAAGATTAACCAAATGGTTTAGCTCCAAAAAAAAAAAAACTTTTGATATTAGAAAGGCAATAATAAATTTTGTCTTAAAAGCCTGGAAAAATGTTACATCCGTCACTATTAATGATTGCTAGTATTATTCCTTTAGAATATGAAGAACAACTTGGGGATTCAACAACATTAATACAAAATATTATAGATGATCAAAGAGACAATGTTAATAATTTAATTGATAGATCAAATTTCAGTTCAGCATTAACAGCATTAACAGTAAAGGAATATATATCAATTGATAATGATGGGATTAGTGAAATTCCAATCAAAGAGGAATATGTTATTGTATAAATGAAGCTGTAAAAGTTTGAAACTACTTTTAATTTTTTTGAACAAAATAATGTAACAAATTAACAGTTTATATCATTGAAAAGAAAATTCAATATTACTAGTTTTTTTTCAATAAATAATTGACTATTACCATTTAATTTTTATTGTATTAGTTTTATATCAAATATTTATTATAATTAAAATCAAGTATAAATAAGCGACCAATTTATCAAGCTGGTATATACTTTTTCGATGCTATCTAAAATTTCAATATTTTCTGGACGAATATTCCTCCTCGTCTTCTCTTCATTTTTTGTGTCATACAAACATCATGACCTCAAAAATAAACGAGGGTGCGAAGGATGCATGCTAAACAAATATGTATATGTTAATATATAGATAGACCCGAAAAATAATTTTGTACTTGGCATGCATTCTGATTGGGCTACTGCTGATCGTAATACTTTATTCTATGTGGTAGTAACTAATTGCACAAGCAAAGAAAAGCTTTATCAACAACTTCTAAAATTAGGTTTCAATAGCTACTAATTGTTAGATTTTATTATTCATTAGCTTTGTTATTCGTTTAATTTAAATGAAATTAATTGATAAAATAATGCGACAATAATCTTTTTTACAGATGCAGTAAAAATAAATAGATATATGTACTAGAAATAAATCAGTAGATTGCCATCGTGAAAAGAACTTTATTATTATTATTATTATCATTATTATCATTATTGAGGTTATTCCATTCAGATATCCAGATATTTGTCAACCATTGTAATCATTATTCAATCGTTCAAATAATTTTGATATCAGTATATTTGGCTTGTTCTCCAATTTGATATAAAAATAAAATTTTACTTCGTGAAATTAAAAGATAACAAAAAAATGCCTTACATAATAAGTGAAGGCTGTTGTTTTATTGTTGAAAAGGTAATTTTGTGTTTCAGATACAAAATAAGATAATCAATAACAAATTGTAATTCGTTAAGCTTTTAATATTCGTTGAAATATATTTTTTTTTTATTTTTGGCAAACACAAACTAGCAGGTACAATGCTGTGACTCGAGACTCTTAGGTTTAAGTTTAGGGTCACACACATTAAAATGCGGATATCCATAAAAATTAGCAACCGGATGTAACCCTAATTTAAAGGCGATTATCCAATAAATTTTGCGTATTCCCAATTTTACTATAAAAGAAGACAAAATGTCAAAGACCAAAGAAAATAAATTCATACAAGATTACGACAAATTTTAAAAATCGACTATTTGTGTGCTATCGAAATTTAAAAAAGACAAATAGGCGAGGTTGACCATGGAACGAATTTTGTAAAAACAACAAAAACACTCAATTTGATTAGTTGTCGTACCAATGCTGTCACTTGTAAATTTTAATTGCACAGGTAAACTCTAATATGTCAGACATTTATATTGAGTTTACCTGTGTATGATCGATATTGCATCAAAATGATTTAGTATAAAACTATTTACTCATAATAATAATAATTGTTTTATTTGATTTGACGGATAAAAATGTTACTATTACAATTATTATCACTATTACTATAATTGTTTATCGGATATATTTTCCATGTTAATTATTTGAATATATAGTGGAAATCATCACAAAATTTTGTAGTACAGCTCGGGTCATCTAAACCCCGACCACTACAGCAAAAATCTGGGCAAAATTTCAATTTTTTTTTTTACGATGAGGTAATGTCGCATAATTTTATTTATCGGGCAAACTACACTATTAAGCTATTTTTAGTTGCTTTGTAATTTTAGGTACAAAATGACGTCAATATGATTGATATATTAAATCATATAATTAAACTTTAATAAACAGTGACGTTTGAAAGAATAGCTTAATAGTGATTGCCCGATAACATCGATATTTGGGCGTGCGATGGACAATTTCAATGACATCCAGGCCCAACATCTTATTGTACACTCACCTGCCATAAGTATTGGCAATTTTGCAGATCGTTGGAAATAACTCAAAATTTTATTATCAATCACAATCACTTTTATGTATTAAACAAAAACCAATTTTCATAATGATTCCAATAACATACTTGAAATTTATAATGTTTTGTTTACAATTAATAATTTTATTAGCTTTAAAAATTTTTTTGAAATTTTCAATTGAACAAAACCTAATTGTCAAGTTTTAACATGTCTAGATAACATAATAAAAAATGTGCACCATGCTTTGAATATATATATAATAAACTTATGTAATGATTCGTTATATGACTATTAAGATTTTAAATTAAACGTAAAATATTTATATCATTTTTTCATTCAATAATTAAACCCAATTGTCAAGTTTTAACACATCTTAACAGCATAATAAAAAATGTGCAGCATGTTTTGAAATATATATACTAATATATATATTGTAAAGAGCGGTCAAATATTTTATTGGGAAATAAAAAAAAATTAAAAATGTGAAATTTTTGGATTATCAATTTTAGTATATATAATTAATAATTAGTTGGATAGCCTTTAGATTTTTTTACAGCATCTATTCTCCTAGGCATACTATCAACTAAATTTGCCAATGTCTCTATGTCAATCTGGTACCATTCTTCTTCCAGGGCAGCAAAAAGATCATTTTTATTTCTAGGAATATTCTCACGTTTTCTAACTCTCCTTTCAAGCTCATCCCATAAATTTTCTATTGGATTTAAATCTGGACTCTGGGATGGCCAAGGAAGTGAAAGAACATCATTATCTTGTTTTAAAGCTCTGAACGAGCCGAGCCGGCTCGAGCTGAAGCTCGAAATTTCGAGTTCGAGCCGAGCTCGAGCTAAGAAATAATAGGCCCGAGACTTTCGAGTCGAGCTCGAGCCAAGCTCGAGTTTGACGTTACATAAATTTTT